CTCAGGCAATTCACTCACCTCAGCCTCCCAAAGGCACGGGATTACAGGCTGAGCCACTGAGCCCGGCTAATTTTTTTTGCACTTTAGTAGGCCACAACCATTCTTTATCTATCTTAAGAAAATGTGCAAGCCTTTTCTAATATGTTCTAACTCTGAAATGACTTATAAATTATATGTCATAGATAAAAATCAAGACCCTGATCCATATGAGTTTGGCTTCCAGGCCTCCTAGAGGAAAACTGTCCCATCGAAATATAATGGGAGTCTCATGTCTGATTAGATTTTTTTCTAGAGCCATATTAAAATAGTAAAAATAAATTACTGAAGTTAATTTAATAGTATATTTTATGTAACTCTGTATTCAGAATATTATTTCAGCATGTGATCAATATAAAAATATTCATGAAATATTTTCCGTGCTTTTAAAATACTACATCTTTGGACTGCAGTGTATATTTTACAGTTGCAGCACATCTCAATTCGGACTTGCCTCATTTTCAGTGCTCAGTGACCACATGTGACTAGTGGCTACCGTTATGGACAGTCCAGGTCTAGAAGGAAGGGGGAGCATGAGACCAAGAACTAGGACAAGAGCCTGGGCAAGTTAAAGAATGGCATTGAGACCTTCTTCCTGCTAGGACCTGGACTATGTTAGAGTTAGAGAACTAGCCTTACTTCTGCCGTGGCTGATGCCTCTGGTCTGTGTGCTTTTTCGGCAGGTTTGTTTTGGAGCAGTACAACGCTCTGTCCTGGCTCACATGCAATCCAGCCACCCAGGACCGTACTTCCTGCCTTCCTGTCCACTTTGTGGTGCTCACTCAGTTGTACAATGCCATCATGAATATACTTTAATTGGAAAAGCACTTGTTCTCTCTGGCTCAGTTCCTTCTCCCTGCAGCCTCAATACAAGGAACCTGCTACACTCTGCAAATACCCCACATCCTTTTCTTCAGACCACTCTCCACATAGTCCTGCACTGTGATTCCTTCTCAGCAGGCACATGTCAATTCTGCAGTGTTCATTACCAGAGTGACTCCTTGACACTTCTCTCATGGACCTGGAGACTTCCATAAGTGGTGACTTTCAGCCAGTGTGGTGGTGTGTACCAACCACTGGTCTACAGGAAGTGGTGGTTGTTGGTGGCTTTTAAGCGGGAAACAGAAGAGATAGTGTCCTTTTGCACAAGAGTCTGTGTTTTCAGCCTCTGTTTAAAAATGAGGGCAATCTCGCCCTTTGGATGAAATCCTCTAGCTATTGGTGTATGGCCTGTGGGTTACCTGAACTCCATAATCTGGGACTTTTTAAAAATAAGAACCAGCTCGAGTACATGATTTCACACTGGGGTCTCTGTCTCCCTAGTGCTCCCATCTAGATTGGCATGAGTGCTTTGGTTGACTTCAAACCTGTGTGTAGATACAGAAGGTCTGGAGACTGCTTCCTTTTGTTTATTTATTTTAACTTGTATTGTCATATATATGTGTGTGTGTGTGTGTGTGTGTGTGTGTGTGTGTGTGTGTGTGTGTGTGTGTGTGTGTGTATGGATTTTTTTACTTAATTTTTTTTAAATTCACAAGGACTAGGTACAGTAGCTGAAACTCAATTCAGATCCACCATAGGATTCTTTGACTACATACCTCTGTCCTTGAAGCCGGAAAAGAAGTGAAAACACATTGGGGAGATCATGCCTAAAAAGTAATATACTCAAAACCACCCAGCAGTAGGCTTTATTAATAACACACTGGGTTTTAAAAGTTCTGCCATGTTAAGTGGCCAGTATTTCATGAAGGATAACATTTTATACAGAAGGCAGTCAAGCTCAACCCAGAGCCATGGAGGCAAGTACCTTAATTAGTTTTATATAGTCACAATGGAAATATATTTTCTAGTGAATTCTTACCGAAAGCCAGGTCTCTCCTCTCATTAGATCAAAAGGGACTTATGTACATATTACACTCAAAAGTGTTTGCTCATAAAATCGGTTATAAATATGGTGAATTTTTTCTGGACCATAGGAATATTATTTCAAAGAAATATTACAATGTAACCATTAAATTAGTACTTGAAGTTGAGCCTTCGTGGTGGAACTTTTTAAAAAAAAAATGCCTTTTTAAAGCATTTAAGGCTAACTGAAGTATTTTATGACTCCTCATTCCTGGCCCAGAGGGTTGTCTTTGATACCCTGTTTCTAACCCTTGTGTTGCTGTGTGTTTCTGTCTGAGGGAAGTGGGCGTGGACTGGCCTCCTGGGAGCCACTTTGACCAGGCCATTGAGCTCTTGTCATCTGTGGAGAGAATCATGCAAATTTTAAAAGTTCTTCCAAGAGACTTCCATGTCCTGGTTATTAACAAAAAAAGGAAAAATGTAATAATTGATATGATTTTGTAAAAGTATTTTTCTTGAAATAATCTAAAGTTTAAAACATTATATTAAAAAAAGTTGTGTGGTGGGAATGTGAAAGCAGAGAAATAACTTGTAAATGGATAATTTTGTTCTCTGTACCACCAGTTGAAGGGGGGGTGACTTTCGCAATGTATAGGTTAAAAATCTGATATATCAGACCATTTGTATCTAATGTGTACAGTGTAAAATTGACTTTAAAAATATTGCAGTGCTATTTTTTCTTAATCAGAAAGGAAAATTCTCAAGGCCTTTTGAAGAGCATAAGATGATGAAGATTGTAAACTTGTATAAAATTATCTTGGTGAGAAGACAAATTGTAAAGTAGATATTTGTAATCTTTTACCACTTTGGGGTTGCTTTTTTTCCCAGAATTCATCAGAAGTTTGAATTTTTTTTTTTTAAATGGGCTGTTTTTAATGCAGGGGCTTTTCTTCCCTAGAAACCCAATTGTAAGCAGAAAAAAAAAAAAAAAAAAAAAACCACAAAAAACAAACAAACAAAAAAACCTTACAAAAGATTAAAAAAAAAGGCAGCAAAGGGTAGTTTTCATCTGGTGTCTTTTATTTAAGTTTTTTAAGTTAAGAAAAGCTGGTGACATATTTATACGTTTTGTGCAAAAATAAATGAATGGCAATAGATTTTAAAAAATCTTATTATGTACTTCTGTGTGAAAAAGTCTGTATAATATTTCCCTTAAATATGCATTATTTTACTTGTGAGTTTTTTACTGAATTAATCTGAAATGTACAAGCCCTGGATTTGCTACAGAGTGAGAAGTTATTTTATTTTTTTTTATTTTTAATTTTGGGAATTCTGCAGAAATCAGAACTCTTAACCATGGTTTGAACTAAAAAGGGGAAATGGGGAGGGCAGAAGGGTGGGATTGTCCAGCATGCTTGTATGTATATTTCAGAACCTTTTTTAAATGTAAAAGCTGTACATTTCTGGGAAGTTCTGAATTTCTTTTGTTTCCTTTTTTCCTTCAAAGCATTTTGCAGTGAGCTTCTTTTATATATAGCAAACAATTTGAAAGAATACAAAAATATGTGAAGTTCATTTAAAAAAATAACTACAGTATAGCGCTGGTACAGTACACTAAAAGACTTTGATAAAAAGAAACAATAATAAAAGGCCTCCATTTTAAATGTCATTCATATATACCTTGTGGATGAGAGCTATATACTTTTACACACTTTTTTAGAGGAATAAATTATTGAATTACTGAAACTTTGAGTGGCTTTTTTCCCCTCCCATCCTGCCTCTGTACAAAGCTATCGACACCTGTTCACAAGGTGTATATTATGGATTGAACAACCCTAGACTAGGATTCCAGTCTGTAAAATGAATGTAGGATTTTACTGCCCTAATCACCCCATCAGCTGTTCTGAAATGGTGTTCTCATATTCTAAGGCACAAGTGCCTTCCTAGATCAGTTAGATACTAACACACACAACATTGAATTAATGGTTTTGAATAGATCAGATCTAATGGTGTCTCTCAGCTGTAAGATTGTGATCAATCCTAGAACAAAGTTACAAGTCTGTATTTATATTCCACTGTCTTTCTCGTTGTGGTCCCAGCTGGTTTCTTTTTGGTGTTCCTTAGATAAAAGATACATCTCCCTTTGCTGATGAAATCTCTGTCTTAAAATGGTAAACCGCAAGACTTCATAAAGCTTATAGTAAAAATTTGAATAATTTGAAAAGCCTTAAAAAAATCTCCCTCCATCTATTTAGAAATATACATTGCTCTGAATATAGCCTTGTCTGAATCTAGAGAGAAAAATGTTGAGATTGCTCAGCTTCAGTTATTACATCTACAAATGAGGGGTGAGGGTGATTCCATGAGAAATACTATACAAATTAAAAAGTTGTATTCATCTTATTATAATTGTACTGCTGAAGAAAGACTGCAAGAAGTGAGGCCGAATTTTCAGTGAAAAGATAAGTTTTGTGTTTCATCCAGTTACCATTGCCTTATATATAGTTAGATGCATATAAGTTATAACAAGTTTTGTGTCTCATCCAGTTACTATTGCCTTATATATAGTTAGATGCATATAAGTTATATGTATGTACTCCTGTGTTATCTAAATAATCAGAATTAGTTGGTATTTTTACAAGCAGTTATTAGCTTGGATGTTGAACTCATTCATTGGGTGGTGCTTTATCCAGTGATTAGTGTTTGCTTTTTTTATAGTGCGAATATTATTTTCCTAACTACCACTATCTGTACAAATTCAGCCACTGTAACTAAATCTCTCTGAGGTAGGAAAAATTATTTGTGGAATGGATTTAAACAGTTTGCAAGTTAGATGTAAATAAATCTGACTTGGCATATTAGAACCATCAGCCTTCAGCCATGTACCACCACTCAGATGCTACTTAATGTCAGTGCGTCCCCTGCAACCATGTGCTTACATAGTTTTTATGTTCCTGCAGTGCAGGAAGTCATGGGGTAGGGGTTTGTTACCAACTGGTATGAATGAACCAATACAAATCTTTATGAAAGTGCAGTTTGTTGATAGAAGTTCTTAAAAGCAGGCTTCTCATAATATGCACTGCTGAAGCATGAGCCACATCCCGAAAACAGCGTCTGCTGCTTGTCATTCACATAACTCCAGCTACTATAGGAAGGAAAGGACTTTCACTTTTGAATTCAACACATGCCAGAATCTTATCAAGATGCATTTTTAACTTATTACCATGTTATCTTGGTGTTAAATGATTCTCTTGTTTATATCCCCTTGACAAAAAGGTCACTTTAATAGTCATTATTTCGTGTCATTAATACCTAATGAGACACCATTAGAACATTCCATGGTGGCAGGTAATTATGTGATTGTAATGTTTGCCCCGGGCATCCTACTTTCTTGGAACCAGACTTCCCAGTCTCCCTCTACTTGACTTAAAATTCCCAGGTCAAGTTTTAAAAAGATTTTTTTTTGACACTTAACTGCTTCTGGCTGCAACTCTGAAGTAATGAAGCAGGTAAGAAATAGAAGTTGATGAGAAAGAAAATTTAATATCCAGGATGGAGGTTGGAAACGACTAGAGTATTAATTTTTCTCTGTTAAGGTTATTTCTTCCATGAGTGTAAGTTACCAGGCAATGGGAAGACCCAAAGATATACACTCTAGTCAGTCCCACCTTTTTTTTTTTCAAACATGAAGAGATGTGAGAAAAGCACGTTTTCTTTTAATAACCTGCTAGTACAGCATTTGGGCTGTTACCCACGTGGGTCAAACCAAGTCTGTCCTGGAGTGTTCTTGCAGTCACCCAGTACTCAAAGGTGGCAGACACATTGCAATTGGCAGCCACTCCCAGCATTTCTCTTGCTATTGCTGCCTATTTTATGCCTTTGTTGCCTTGCTACTTGATTAGGCATGTTTCATAAAACCAGATGATACTCAGGAAAATTGGCCATGCCAGAGCTAAGATTAGACACTGGGTGGAAAAAAAAATCTGGGGGAATATCAATTTAAATAATTTGACATGTAAAATAGTTATTTAATTTGAGCTAGAACAGTTTCCAGTAAGCATTTTCATGTTATCTCCTTTTATTTAAATCTTTTTTGTTCACTTAGAAGTTTTGTTCTCATTAATTTATATGTATTATTTACATGTATAATTTGTCTCCTTTTAAGTGTGCAATTTTTAAATTTTAGAGGAGATAATGTTTATATAGTTATACATACACACACCAATATTTTTAGTTGTTGATACTTTTTGTATTACTGCAAAGCTTAGGAAGGTATCTTTCTTACCAGGTTCAGGGGTCAAGGTCATGTTTGCTTCATAGGATGAACTGATAAACTTCTAGTCATTTTCAGTGACGCTGAAGTTTCTCTTACATGACACCAACTTTGCATTGGGCTGAGACTATACATAGGACTGAAGTAGGCACCCAGGAAATGTCTGTCAAACACTGAGACTTTGAAAGAATAGAATTACTTGCTCCTACAAAATCTGAAGTAATTTACGAGTAAATTCATTAGGTCCTGACATCTTCTGGAGAAGAAGTTTAGAAAATATAGGAAATTATTTTCCTCTTTTTTTTCCCCCTAGTCAATTTGGGTTTTTTATTTCTTATATCATTTTTTTTTAACA